CCACTAGAAAACTGCAAGTGATGCTATGGCTCAAGCGGTAGAGCACTCGCCTTGAGATGAAGAGCGTGGGGACAGCGCCCAAGCCCAGAGTTCAAGCCCCATGACCAAAAAAAAAAAAAAAGTCAAGTGGCAAGTGTTTGTAGGACAAGTGGGGTGATGGTGGCAGAGGGTATGCCTGCCCAGAACATTCCATGGAAGAACCTTAGGCCAATTAAGGAGTATTAAGACAGTAGTATGACATCAAACCGCCTGCCAACAGAGTTTACTACATTCAGCTGGCCACTGCCCCAGAGGAGGTGCCTTTGGGCATGATGAATAAATCAAAAGTGCTGATAGCCATGGCAGGGAGAGTAGTTGTGGGCTGGCCAAGTCTGGCCACAAGGGCAGTAGCTGACACAAAAGTTCTGTCCTTGCAGGGTCAGGACACATGCTGAGCAAATGTTCCCTTCCACAAAAAAACAAATCCAGCATCCACCACAGGGGAAAGGAGACCCAGAGAAGCTCCACAACCCCACAAAAGCACAAGGAAGCAAGTTGGTGGCAAATTGGTGTTGAAAGGTCCCTCTTGTTATTTCTATAGAAAGCCCCCTAGCCAGGGGTTCTAGTCAGGGTTCCTTCTGTACCCCCAAATACTCCCTCACTTGGGAACCCCTTCTAAGTGGGAGTTCTACATGCTGAGGACTGTTGCATGCCAAAGTAAAACAAAATTTGCTAGTCGAATATTTTTTAGACATTTTGCAAGATGCACGGCCTCTCTGACAATTTTTAATGTACTAACTGCCTGGTCCAGTGAGCTGATTAATTGGTGCTGGAGAGATCAATAAAAAACAGAAAATTAAAACAATTTTAAAGTGATTAAGTAGTTTAACACCTGTCTCCCGTCACGTCAGCGCAGGAAGAAAAATAAAGCAGGTGTCGAAGGGGCCTCCTGAAGCAAGAGAAACCAGCGCCTGCCCAGGAGAGATGACAAATCACAGCTGGAGAATCAATCTGGAAACCATAGTCCTGCCCAGGCTGCAGGCGTGGGGACAGCAGGGCTCCTGGGCCTCTCTGCTGCTCACCTGGGTTTTCAAGCTCCTTACGGGGGCAAATGCTTGTCCTGCTCGGAAGCCAGGCATGATCGGGCTCAGGGAGCCTGAGGACCTCTCAGATCCTCTGTGGAATCAGATGGAAACCCTGAGTTTCAGCCATTCTGAGCGATGAAAGCCATGGGATTCAAACACTCCAGAATCATTTATAGGCCGTGTGGTCAAGGGAGAAAATGGTTGCCACTGTCCCAAGAATAGCCAAACCTTCCTTTCTTGAAACTACATGTCTACTCCCTTCCTGCCAAAGGAAAGTTAGTCCCTACAACGTCCAACTTCTATTTGCCTCTTCCTACTTCATTAATAGGTATACAGTGCCTGCTGGATGATGCTCAAATGCCCCTTGTCACATCTTTGTGCCAACTTCATTCCCCCATCCTCCACTAGCAGCTAGCAGGGTAGCCTCTAAGCATTTTGTTCCTTTCCCAGTTTGACGCATCTGACTCAATTCACAGCACGTCAACTTACAGCACAAGAGATACAGATTCTTTTCCAGCTTCCCCATCCAAGTCCTCCTAACCAAGAGCAGTGAACTTGGGCAGGGGAAGCTAGGAGAGAAGAATGAACAAAGGCTAGAGATGGGGCTTCAACTGAAACATGGAAGTTTCCTCTTGATCTTGAAAATGGACTCGAGGTAGGACTGGTGGTGCATGCCTAGTACTCAGGAAATCAAAATAGGAGGACCAGGAGTTCGAGGCCAAGTCGGGCTACAGTCACAAGGTCCAGCAGAGAGAAGCTGGGCTCCTCAATCTACCTTCTGTACCCAAGGGCAGAATGAGCCTTGCTGCTGAACACTGTGTAAATACCTGCTGTGCCGCTTCCTGGCCACCGTAAGGGTACAAATGACCACATTTTCCCCACTAGATCAGGATAAAAAGGAAATCCAAACAGCTAGAGTAAGCCTGCAGCAGGTAGACAACATCAGAGCCTTCAGTTGGACTTACAAATGTCCCCCTTTTCGAAGCCCATCTCATCCCTGCCAGCCACCCCAAGGAAGGACAGATAGAGATGAAGTCTATGGCAGAGGCCTGGATGAGGGCTCAATTAAGGAACTACAACTGTTAATTTCCATACACGTATTAGCCAGATTTAGTTTTCCTTCCCCGTAACATCTCTTTGGGCTCTGTTTGCAGTGGCTTGGTTGCTTTCTACAGAAGTTTATCTGCAGTCAGGTTTTAATGAAAAGGTGTCAAACAACTCCTCTGGGGATTTTCAATCTCCAGCTATTGGCTCACTTTCAACAACAACCCACATACACGGACTATCTTTTGGCTTATCCTGCCCAAGATGTGGTTTTAGTGAGTTGGCCAGAAAGGCAGCTAAAACGTCCTGCAATCCAACATCTCTGTGATTTCCAATGCCATCTCTGCACAGGGGTCAGCTCCAGGGCCCGTTTCCCAATGAAAGACTGCCCCAGGCCACCGATGAGACCTGCACAGGCACCTTGGAGCCATCCCAGAAAATAGCCCTGAGACCTCACCACTCTCAGGAGCAAACAAAGTTCTTGGCTCGGTGGAGGTGCCCTCACTGCGGGAGCTCACTGCACAATAAGCCCCACACTGACGAAGATAAAGTTTCCCTGGGCCCAAGTTCCAAACTCGGCTGTTTTGTTTCTGTTAAAATGCAATTGTTTTTCTCTGGAGTGTGCGGTGACTGCTCGGCGTCAGGAAGATGTATGAAAACCTCCACTTCAATTCAGCATCCCTTTTCTCCCAGACAAACACGGTCGGATTTTAATAAATCAAACAGCCACACTGTTTAATAAAAATTTATTGACTTACAAGTGATTATTTATCAAAAGACCATTAATAGCAGGACTGAAATGATGTGTTACTGGGTGGTGCTGGGAGACTAATAGGAAATCAATGCAGCTGGCCGGCCAGAATGCATATGAGAAACCCACCCCCCAACAGCGAGCTAAATTTCACCAGCAAAATACACCAGACACTACCCTTGGTGCAATGAAAAGTTCCCCCTTTTTATTTATCGTTTACAAATGAAATGATCAATACTTTTAATCTAGAGCAAAATTTATTAACTTTCCCATCGGAGAGAGACATATTGACTAGGGGAGAGGGGTGTGAGAGCAGTGGAAGATGGATGGCTGGATGGTCGTCTCTTAACCTGTCCAAGAGTCAGTGTGCGTGAGCTGCCCTTCCAGCCCGGACATCCCAGGCTGCACACTATAGCTGCATCTGAAGAAATCAAGTCTGGCCACCCAAGATGCACAGCAGGTGATGAGCCTGCACACAGTGCTATCTTTTACAAATTGGAGAACAGAAGGAAGTACCATCCCAGACCCTGAGACTTTGGTCAATTCTAGGAAGCAGCAGGGTTCATAGACCTGATTTCCATAGAGCATTTAGGGTATATGCCCACCACTGGTTCTGTCACAAAGATCTGAGACATTATGGTGCCCACAACCCCTTGTCACTGGCCTGCCCACTGTCCCTCACACATCAAGCCTTTGTCTGGGAGGGGCAGAGAGGGAGTAGGGTCTGTGGCAGGAAAGCATGTCCCAAGGTTGGTTCTCTGTCAGATCACCTGAAACTACTCTGCCAAGCTTTGCTCATTTAGCCCTGGCTGCAGGGCCATCTATTGAGCTGCCTGTCAGGTGTACTTCACTGGTATTTTGGGAGGTTTTCTCTAGCTAGAAAGGGCTCATGCTTGCATGAAAAATCTGCCTTTAATTCACAATCTTAAGTAGGCCATCTCAAGAAGTGTGGGTCTGGCTCACTATCATCTATACTCTTTAAGGACTCCACACACATGGGGACCCCTGCAGAAAAAAAAAAAAAAGCCTGGTTTGGGGGAACAAATGGCTCCAAATGATCTATTTTGAAACTCAAAGCCAATTTGAATGAAAAGCTTAAAATCAACAGTTATTAGCTGGACACCAGGAGCTCACACCTACAATCGTATTCAGAAGAAAGAGATCTGGAGGACTGAGTTTGAAGCCAGCCTGGGCAGAAAGGACTCTCATCTTCCAAAACAACTAGCAAAAGCTGGGTGGCTCAAGAACACCAGCTGAGCAAGCAAGCAAGCACACCAAGTGCATGAGGTCCTGAGTTCAAACCCTTGTTTTGGAGGCAAAAATTAAATTGCAGAGGTAGAAGGTCTTAGAAGTCACAACCCTAGTGCCTGGTTATGTATCAAGAAACAGATAAAAGAGAACAGCAGTGGAGCAGCAAGTGTGGAAGTGGACTGAACTGGCCACTGCCCCGGTCAGTCAGGGCAAGGATCCAAGAGTAGTTTGTAGTATGTTGTGAGCCTTTCCTACAGACCAACTCTGAGATCCCAAAACAATTCCAACTCTGGGACTATTAGGTCTGCAGGATCCCCAGTTAAAGAAGGATGGGCAGTAGGTGGCCCTGAATGCCTTAACAGACTGTAGAGATTTCATTTTCATGAGTATAATCACATCCCTCCTCCTTCTCACTGTTCCTGCTGTAACCAATAACAGACAGGTGTGTGTAACATGAGCAAGCAAAAACCCCCATAAAATCCTCTATGCATATCATGAAGTAAAAGCAGCTACTTCATGATGAATTTCATAGGAACTTCTTTTAAAGAGAACTTGATTTTCTTTGGTCCGGTCGTGGGGCCTGAACTCTGGGCCTGGGTGCTGTCCCTCAGCTCTTCAGCTCAAGGCTAACACTCTACCACTTGAGCCACAGCGCCACTTCCGGCTTTTTCCTTTTTGCTTATGTGGTGCTGAGGAATCGAACCCAGGGCCTTGAGCATGCAAGGCAAGCACTCTACCACTGAGCCACCTTCTCAGCCTGAGAACTTGATTTTCAAAACTAATTTTATATATCATTCCAACTGGCTCTGACACTATACACACCACCCCTTCTACAAGCTGAGAACCTTTTATTCTTAAACATCCCATAAAATAGTTCGTAAGAGGCATTCTTAGTCATAACAGTGTTTTTATTTGAGAGAAAAGAACTTTTCACTGGCTAGCAATGGGACAGGTTGAGGAAACAGGCAATTATGTGGGGAGGTGACAGGAAGGTGGCAGGGATACCACCAAACAGGACAGGGGCCTTGAATGACAGTTCAAAACCTCAAGAGGTGGGCTTCACTCACAGTACAACCCAAATCCCAGGTGACACCACAGCTGGTACAAAATCATAAGGGGTATCCTGACCTTTCCACAATGGTATGGAGGTATGTAGGAGGGAGGGACAGACAGATGGATGATGGTGGTTGAGGCAAACTGCCCTCTCTCCTGCAATACTGAAAGTGAACAGATCCCACAAGGATGGCTGGCTCTGAATCTACCTTTGCAGTGGCGATGTGGAACCTAAGGTAAACCAACACCCTTGTCGGCCTCACCTGGCTCCTCACCTAGCCTCAGGACCTCTGTTTTCCCTTACTTTTATACTACACTGCCCCAACTCAGCCCACCCTCTCCTCCGCCTCAACCAACCAATGCCTTGCATACGCCTCCAATCCCACGGCTCACCTGTGGAGAAACCAGTCTATCCTAGAAACCATAAACTAACCAGAGATGTGCAAATGCCTGGTATGAGCCGTTTACCCTCATTCTGGAAGTCAGGTTCAGACCCTGCCATTCCAGGGTTATTATGTTCAAGTACAAGAACTAAACTTGACAGGGAATACATTCTTCAGGGCTACATTCAAGGGGCAGAGAGTAAAGGGAAAGTCCCTTAATTCATTCACCATCTAGTTTCATTTACTCACAAGACATGCCCAAAGCCCCCGTCACTTATAGTAGCACTGGAGTCCCCACAACAACCCTGTGAGGTAGATGTCACCACCTTCCCTTCCCCTGCTGACCCATGACACACATGGGGAAGACGAGGCACACATTAAACAAAGTGCAAGTCACATGGGAAATTCAGGCTCAGCCTGGAGTTTGAACACAGATTCCTGGCTCTTGTCACAGACTGGTCAAGGGGGCACTGGCCTCTCCCCATCCTGTGACACCCCTTAAGCAGGAGCTCCAGAACTTTTTAAAACTTCATTTGGCCCAATGCCCCTGCAAACAAGTCTTTTCATGGGGTCTGCAGAGATCTGAGGCTGGGTGCTGTTTGGGCTAGAGGCAGGCCCAGCCATCTTGGCAGTAACCCTCTCCTCTGGAGTCATGTGCCGGCCTCCCCTAGTAAGTCCCTGGCACATGTGCAACCACAAGGACTGAATCCCAAACCCTACCAAGGTTGAGGACAGTCCTCCCAACCACTCAGCCCGAGACGACGCACACAGGTGGAGAGCTGACTTTAATGGCACTCCTCCAACGGGCTTATTGTAAAGGGAACAAGAAGGCATCTTGTCCTGGCTGGAGCACCCAGCAACTTTGCAGCAGATGACAGTGGGCAGGCTGTGCTGCCTGAGCCCAGGGATCCCTGTGTGGCTCTGAAGAAGCTGGAGTCCTGGGATCCTGAGTCTGGAAGGGTGCAGCAGTGGGGCACGGTGGTGGTGGTGGTGGTGGAGGCGGAGCAGGAGCAGCAGCATCTTCTGCTGGCTCATTGTCGGGACTTGGAGGCAGAGGCTCCAGCCAGCATGGGATGCAGACTCAGGAACGGCTCCTGTCCTCATGGTTCCCAACAATCATCTTGCTGTACAGCTTCTGCTGCTCTTCCTTAAATGTGTCTTTCACCTTCTCCCTCTTTAATCCACCATCCCTGAGAGAGAAAGGTCAATGTAACAGCAGGAAAGGCTCCCTGACCAACCCCATTTTGGAGATACCCTAAACAGCTCAAAACCCATCACAGGCCAGCAGGAAACACAGGGACACCAGGGCCTCTCATCAAGCAGACTGCAGACCTGCCTGAACTCCTGGGAACCTGAGGTCAGCATTTGCAATTCATGGTGAACACACTGTAAAACTCCCCACCCTTCTCAAGGAGGTTAACATTTTTTGTATACTAACGTTCATCTTTCCCTCACAAAGCATAGAGGACAAAAGGTACTTACTCCAGTATCCCCAGAAGGAAAAGAGCCAAAGCTTTAGGAAGTACTGAGATTCAAAATATCCATAAATTCCTTTATAAAATGTTACTTATAAAGTTTACACCTAAGATTCTGGGATGAAATCCAGAGCCTTGTAATAGGCAAGTCCCATAACTCTGAGCGGCTCACCCAGCCCCAGGGAAAAGCAAGTTCTTATCTCTACACCCTACAGACAGTACTGTGAGCCAGCCACAGCCTGAACTCTTCTGCCTACTCTCAGGGTGATGGCCTTGCCAATCCATACTTCTGCACACCTCTAAATTCTCTAGACCTGCATTTGCTCCTTCCCATTCCCATTCCCACCCACACCCCAACTCCCTGCTTAACTCCAGTGTTTCCTTCTTCAAAGCGTGAAAGCCGAAGTCTCCTCAGTCTCTGCTCTACTCTAAAACTCAGTCAAGAAGCAATGCTCAATGACAAGGGAACATGGAGTAACAGATAAACTTCCTAACTAAAAGCCTGCCAGTTTGCTTTCAAATTCCAGCTCCAGACCTTCTTTGAGACATTAGTGAAAGTAACTTGACCTCTCTCTGTGGGGTCACCTGAGGTGAGCTAAAAACCACTACACAGAGTACTAGAAGCACCATGAGGTGCACAGTAGGCATTCAAGATATCAAAACTGACATTTTCAGTTTTGTTTTTGAAACATGATCTCCTAGTTCAAGGCTGGCCTCAAAAGTTGCCATTTGAAGGCTGGGAATGTGGCTTAGTAACAGAGTGCTTGCCTAGCAGGCATGGAGACCTGGGTTCAATTCCTCAGCACCACATAAACAGAAAAAGCCAGAAGTAGCATTGTGGCTCAAGTGGTAAGTGCTAGCCTTGAGCAAAAGAAGCTTAGGGACAGTACCCAGTCCCTGAGTTCAAGCCCCAGGACTGGCAAAAACAGAATTTGCCATCCTACCTCAACCTCTGAGTGCTACCATACCAGGCTAAGATTTGCATTTTTTGTTTCATTTGTTTTGTTTTGTTTTTGCCAGTCCTGGGGCTTGAACTCAGGGCCTGGGCACCGTTCCTAAGCTTTTTTTGCTCAAGGATAACACTCTACCACTTGAGCAACAGCGCCACTTCTGGCTTTTTCAGTGTATATTGTACTGAGGAATCGAACCCAGGGCTTCATGCATGCTAGGCAAGCACTCTATCACTAAGCCACAGTCGCAGCCCAACATTTGCATTTTTTAAAAGGCCAAAAACCTAAAGGTAATGCTATTTTCTGTTTTGTTATGTCTACCAAGTCAAATCCCATCTGAAGCTGACTCTTACTTACTCTTATTAAAAAAAAAAAAAAATTGAGGACAATACTAGGGACTGAACCCAGGGCTTACCTAGCAAGCTTACTCTACCACTTGTTCTCAACCCTTTTGTTTTTGTCTGGACTGGCCTCCAATTCATAATACTCCTGCCTCTACTCCTTGGGCAACTGGACAGTTGTCCACCACCATTCACAACTTTGACCCTTGTTCCAAAAGCTGACATCAACACAGTGTGGCAAAGTTTATCTGAACTAGTGTATGTCTCTACTGATCTCCTGATGTGGAGTGTAAGTACCTCAGATTTTAGAATGAGGGTAGTAAACTCTGGCCTAAAGGCTACAGCTTCACATCCAGCCTCCCATCTGTTCTTGCAAATAAAGTTTTATTGGGAAACAACTATGTTTCTTCATTTTCTGGATGCTTTTACACTATAATGGCAGAAGAGGTTACAATAGGCATCATATGGCCCATAAAGTCTAAAATATTTACTGACTTTACAGAAAAAGTTTGTCAACTCCTACTCTAGTAGGAAACAAGAAAAATGCAATAAGTGAAATGCCTTTCTTTCTATGGTTTGTCTAACTCTCTGTGCTAAGTGCACAGAGATCAGAGAAAGCACTGTATTTATGAGATTGCCACCCAGCCAAAGTTCATTCCCATCTGGAGGTGGTAACTATGTGGGGCCCTGGTACACTGGAAACCCCAGGCCATTCTGAAGAGAAACCAGGTAAAAAGATTCCAGCCTTCCCTCTCCAGGGGTTTTACCACCACACCAGGAAGGAGAGGCCCTTGCAAAGGAGGTTGGGCACCTGCTCGGGTGTGTTTTGGACGGATTTACTCAGCTAACTGTTGGCTTTACTTACCACAGCAGGTCCACCAGTCCTCCCTGCCTGGCAATGGCAGACTTCACCCTGTTAGCAAACTGCACAGCATCTTCATCTTTCTGTAACAAAGAATGAATCAGATCACAGCACAGACTCATGGTCACAGGCAGCTGAGTGGGGATGCCTGTGGGGAGGGAGGCTCCTACCTCTCTGGTCATAGGAGGCAGGTACCAAACGCTGCAGACAATGGCCCAGCTGGTCATCATTCTCAGCAGGTATGTCACCATCCCGTACTTGCTGCTGTTCCAGAATGCATCACCAAACTGAGGGTCATACTGAAAAACATAGGAAGCTGGATGTGAGTAGTCCGGCAATGTATGCTGTCAGAGCATATCTGTGAATGGATCCACTGAGCAGTATTGGGCAGAGTGCAGCTCCCATCTCCCATGAAAACATTAAGCAAGCAGCTCTGTACATAGCAGCTCTGTCCTTGAGCCATACTCAACTGTCCTCAGCTCTGTGCAGAGCATCAGTAAGGCCTCTGTTGACCACTATCCTCCAACCAACAGCGATTTGCTACACACACACACACACACTATTCAACTTTCCAGATACATCCAAAATCATTGAACAGAATAATCTACTCCCATGCACCCATTTCCCTAACTATTGCCATCTTCACCTGCCCCCCTCATTAACACCATGGCATCCCCTTATAAACATGTCTAATATACATCCAAATTAAGTATCTTCTTGTATAATTGCTAGCTTTTTTATATCTTTCCCATGCCCCAGGCTGAAGAACCAATGAGAGAGCTTATAATATGCTATTTTACTATTTAAATGTAATTGCAAAAACAATTTATGTATTTATAATTTAACAACGTAAATTATTTCTTTAGACAGGAAGAATTTATCTGTGCTGATTAAATCAGTGTCCATTAGTGAATGGCTATATACTGATGGCTGTCTCTCAAGGTTGCAACCAGGGACTGGACTTTTCATCAAGAAGTAGGCATTTGTCAATGCCTCTAATGGAGGCAAAAGCTATCTCAATGGTATTTTAGGGAAAATACAGCTGTAGCTACAAACCTTCCTCTCACCAAACACACAGAAAACCCAGGAGCAGAAAAGCCTGGTCTAAGATGGGCTAGAGGAGGAAGTTACAAAAGAAGAGAGAAGAAGAGCTGAGTGTTGAGGCTGCATGAAGCACAGTGGAGCCTTTCAGTATGTAGAAGGGCTGTGATAAACAGGGCAATACTCTAAATGAGGGATAACAAAGGAATGAAGTGTGGACAAGTAAAAGAAAAGAAAATTTCAATTTGTTCTACAGGACCAACATGCGACGGGTACCCTTTTTTCTGGGAGAAGGCCACCAATGTGGAAGTGACTGAGCTTGAAGGATAGGGATTAACTGTACGTTTTTTTTTTTTTAGGCCTTTCTAGCTTTAGTTTTAGAACAAAATCAGACAAACATGTTAAGATTATGGCGCTAACTACAAAAAAACACTGAGACTTACTAACAGAAACTAAAAAAGATTTAACTGTGGAAGGCTTAATGAACTCACTAAGAGGAAGGGAGAATTTCAACCAATAAGCTAAGTTCATGACGATAAAGAAAGTGCTGTTAGCCAGGCACAATGAGTGGTGTGCACTTGGGTTAGAGTTCAGTCTCTCTTCCACTCTGGGCTGGCACTACAGTATAAACAAGGCAAAAGTACAACAATACCTCAAAATCAGACACTGACTTAACTTCCGTGGAAATATGATTAGCCTTGATGCTGCTAAAGTTATCCAATTTATGGACCAAATAAAAATTCATGTAAAGTTTACATGTATTTGCTTTGCAGAGGAGCCCACGTTCCAACAATGGGTACAAACTATTCTCCACAGCAATACACTTCCAGTAGATCCCTGATTATCACTAGCCAGGGACATGTTAAAATGTCCATTTAGCAACTCTGGTGTAGAACCCAGTATCTGCATTTTAAGCATCCACCAGGTGCAGTTCACACAGCTGATGTCTAAGAATGATTACTGAAGTGAAGACCAGCCAAACTAGCAACTCCCTGAGCATACTCGGTCAAAGGCCTGACTCCCATTATGCTAGACTGCAGGTCAGCCCACAGGAGACAGCATACCCCACTGCCCCAGTAGACACCGATAACAGACTATCCACTGACTCATCATTCTCCATAAAAGGCTCAGCTACTCTGAGGTCTCCTGCAGTCATTCTTGTGCCAGCCTTTCCTTGTGCCCTGCTCAGCTGGCAAAAGGCGAGCAGCTTGCATGAATTGGCCTACCCCAAAATCAAGGCAATTAAGAATACATGCTAAGCTTGCTAAACCTCAACTGTAGGCACAGCTACTGATCCTGCTAAGATTTCAGCCTAGGTACTTAGACCACACTGCCAACAGCCTGTTTGACAGAATGATGAGGCATGATCTGGATTCTTTAAAAAAAATATATAGTTTTATTATTATTATTTTATGTGGTACTGAAGAATTGAACCCAGGGCCTCATGCATGCTAGGCAAGCACTCTACCTCTGAGCCACCTTCCCAATCCCAGGTCTGGACTCTGTAAGAAAAACTTTGGACCCACTGTTGACACTCAAAGGATGAGAAGGAAAGAAGAGAAAAAGATGGTGAAGCTGACTGGCTGCACATCGCATGTATCCAGGGAGCTTGAAAGGACAAGTTGACAAGGGCGGGGCAGGGTGGAGAAGCTGCTTATTGGCATGAGATGACGTTGCTACCCAAGCCGTAGAGTCCTATTGCACTGTGGTGTTGGAAGAGACCTGTCAGTCCTTCCTTCCACCCAATGGACCAACCTAGCCCACAGCCTCCTTCCCATGTGGAGTGCTCTCCAGTGAGCTAGGTCTATGAAGAGCGAGGTAGCAAGTGAGAGGGGCAAACACAGAGCTGATGAGAAGCTGCCATTTCTGAAATCCAGTAGTGAGCAGAGATCTGGTTCCTCTGCTAACGCCCAGGCCCCTGGACCTCTTTACTGCTCCCATTCTCCTCCTTTAGCACTTTTTTTGACATGGTCAGCACCTATCCAGCTGTGACAGGACAGCATGCATTCTTGGAGGTCCTGTACCTTGATAGCAACAGGGTAAACAGTGGCTCCAATCTCAAAACTTCCCTTTTTGAACATCATCACCGACGTGTTATTGATACAGGTTCCTAAAATGCAGGTAGAAGTAAAGCATCTAAGTATAACATAATTATAATAATTCCAATTCTTCTAGCAGCTCTTCAAACAGTTACCTTGTCATCATCCATTTGAACACTTTACAGAGCTAGGAAACTCCTCTCTGTGGCCATTTCGCCAGCTAGCACAACTTGACCTAGACAAGGGACCAGGGACACTGAGCAGACTTGGAGGGCTGAGGGATACTGCAAGAAACTCCAAGGACTGCCATCAGTAAGGGACTCCTGGACTGAAAAAGTTCACACTGGGAAACTCGTGCTAAATTCTGAGCTTTGTCCAGTTTTTAGTCCTACTCACAGTCTAAATGGGACCTAACACTATATAGTACAAATAGACAACTCAAGCAAGGGCTGAGGGACAGGTTTCCAGGCATATCAGGGTCACAATCTTAACTGGCTTCCCATCCCAAAGCTCTTTATGGTCATTAACCCCTTCTTACCTTCTGGGAAGATAAGAATAGGCAACTTGCTTTTATCTTGCACGTGTTCAGTCAGTCTATAGAAGAAGAAAAGTTCAGATGATTCTCTGCCCTTTGTTATCAAAGTGCATTTATGTTTATTCGACACTAAATTTAGATGGGAAGACAAAATTAATGACTACTTTTAAACTCATATAATTGTTCAATTCAATACAGTACTAATGTCTGGACCCAGAGGATACTGCAAACTTGGTTCTATCTGAAGGAAGCAACAGCCATACCCTCAATAAACCCTGGCTATCTTACTATGCAATGGTCACATTGGATTAAACCACACTATGGTCTAATGGTGACTTCCTTTACTCAAAAAATGATGGTGATGATAAGTGGATGTTAAATCCAAAATGTTAGGTGATACAACAAAATTAACAGGACTTAAGAAACAAAGAACTTCCACTCATTGGTCGAAGCACTACTAAATATCCCCATGCTGCTGATCACATGTATGGTGTATATGTGTACATCGTTATATGTTATAGACCATGATAGACAATTTGCTCCAGGAAAGTTAATAATGAACTTGTGACTTTAAATGGGCATCATTTTTCCACAATACTGTGAAATTTGGGAAATTATGTAATCACTTAATCACAATTAAAAAAAAAAAAAAAAAGAACCTGGGGAAGGTAGGAAGGGAAGGGATGGTAGGGGGAAAACAATGGAGGGGGTAACAATGCCCAATAGGAAGTGTACTCATTACCTTCCTCATGTAACTGTAATCCTCTGCATAGTATCTTTACAATAAAAAATTTAAAAAAAGCCGGGCGCTGGTGGCTCACGCCTGTAATCCTAGCTACTCAGGAGGCTGAGATCTGAGGATCACGGTTCAAAGCCAGCCCGGGGAGGAGAGACCGTGAGACTCCTATTTCCAATAAACCACCAGAAAACTGGAAGTGGCGCTGTAGCTCAAGTGGTAGAGTGCTCGCCTTGAGCTGAAGAGATGAGGGACAGCGCCCAGGCCCAGAGTTCAAGCCCCACGACTGACCGAAAAAAATAAATAAATAAAAAAAAAGATGGTGAAATTCGACTGTCACCATGGTGGTGTTGAGAGATAAGGCCATTAAGAGGAAACTAGATTTTAAGAAAAACTGATAAATGCAGTCCTCAGGACTGAGTCACCTCGAACATGGGGAAGGCAAGACAACCCCTCATTTTGTCTGTCTATACATAATCACTAGCCCTTCTGCTTTTCTACTGTGTTATGACAAAACAGAAAGGCCATGCCAGATACAGATATAGATATCCAATTTTGGAATCTCTAGCTTCTAGTCTCAGGCATTCTGTTACAGCAGCAGAAAATTATGTAAGACAGTTCTCTAGTCCCCTTGGCTCAGTATTCTATCCCGAAGATACAGCAAAGGGAACTCAGTGTTGGGGGGCAGGGGGGAATTCACTGTCTCTATAAAAGATGGTCTTCCACTGATTGTGGGATACACTGCTGACTGGAGGCCCTAGGTTTGGCCCCCAGCGCTGAAGAAAAAACAACAGCTGATTTCAATAAAGTCTTAATGCCTCCATGTATACTGTGCAAAGCTCTTTAAATTACCTACAGCCTTAAGTTGATTTTTATTAGTAATAATGAATTCACTTGGAGAGTCAAACATCAAAGGAAGCTTCTATTTGGGCTGGAGATGTAGTTCAGTAATAGAATGCTTGCCTTTAAGGCCTTCCATTTCATTCCCAGCACTGCCCAAAGAGGAAAAAAAAGACTCATATTTTATTAGGATGAGTATAATAAAACGTTATTAACTTTAGAAACAATACTCAGATTTCTGTAAACTATATGTTCCCAATTTCAGGAAAAAACAAAACAAAACACAAAACTTGTGGAAATTTTATAGGCTCAGCATCAAGAAGTATTCCTGCAATGCTTATTTTGTCCATTTACCTCTTAGCCACCAGATGGCGATCTTTCACTTCAGACCGTTCAAACCAGACATGTGGGCAGGCCTTCACCATGGCTCTCTGAATAACACCCATGAGGCCTCCGTGCACCTGACCCACCTAATCCCAGACAAAGGAATAATTAACAGTGAATTCGTTCTCACACAATTGCTCCCCTGGTCCCACAAAGTAAGTATCCCAAACTCTCACCCTCAAATAGTTGATTGCTAACTAAGTTTCTTTCAAGAAAACAGTACTCAGACTCACCAATCCTACATTTCCTAGGTCTGTAACTAAAAATATAACTAAACACTTAAGTCAAAATAACCACCAAGTTCTATAAAGTAATCCTCCTTGGATAGTCTCAAATGCTCTCAAGTCTAGCTCTCCTTGGCTCCCCTCTCCCCTGGAATCGTCTACCATCTGACTGCCAGATACCCAGACCAAATATTCAAGGAACAATCTCTACTCTGTTACTCTGCTCAGAACAGCTCTTATCCAAGTTCTTAGCATTCCCCAAGGGAATCTAGGTTGAGGCCACACGTAATCACATACTTATATATGTGCCTTGTGTTCTGTGAAGGGTCCAAAAGTCTCCCAGCACTGATTCAGCTAAGTAAGTTAAGTCCCATTTCAAGAAAACAATAGAAACAGAACTTGTTTTACCATGGCATAATAGCCATCACTGGCCAAAATGATCACGTCGATGGGAGATGTATGATTAGCCACACAGATGCCACCATTTCTTGGTCTGTTTTTCCTGGGGGTAAAACATACGCAAAGCAACAAGAATGAGTGTGTAGGAATTCCTTTGGAAAACAATTCTCACCTCACAAGTGTCATCAGAAGCTAGCTAAAAGCTAAGGAGTATGGCTGAGTGCAGGCAGGCCACATTCTTGGTCATTGCTCTCCCCTTGCATGGCTACCAAGTCCCCTCACCTGTCATGGTAGGTAATGATAGCTGTCAAGGCGCGCACGCAGATCCGGTAACACATCAAGTGAACATGTTTACTCAAGAACTCCTTAAACCTGCAACAACATGATAAGATTTGTTTGACATAGAAGAAGACAGGACAAGCTGCTGACTCTTAACTACTCAACAGTCTGTCAAGTACTTTTCTAAGCATTAGTACATATAGTAAAACCCTGTAATGTATTTTCATTCTTGTAGTCACTCTCAAGAAAACAAAGAAATGCAACATAGCTTGATTATATTCGCCCATGTTATGGTTCCTAGCACAGGGGAACCATGGTCTCCTAGGTTCCTTTGCCCACTTAACTTGAGGCAGGCCTGAATGCAGCCCCCTCACAGCCTGGAAGAACAGAGATCTACTGGCTCTCCAACTTCCTCTGAGGTTTCAAAAAATAAAAAACCCTCCCTGTATTCTAAATAATTTTTTTTAGCACTTATTCTCTAATAAGTTTATGAACTTAACAGAACACATAAAACTAAACACATGATCTCTGCTGGGGGCAGAGATACTAGTATAATCCAGGCCTTGGCTTTGAACCCAGAACCACCAATAAAACAAACAACAACTCCAAACCACCAGACACGCTATAAATAAAATATGTTAATATCTGAGTCCCAGACTACCCCTTTGGGAGTTGCTTCCTTTAAAGTGGGAGGGATATATGGGTTGGAAGGCCAAAATAACAGTCACTGATCAAGATCAGGCACAAAATGAAAGTCTTTAATGTGGATGCCAATGTGAGCATGAGGTTTCTTTAACCATCTAAGATTCTTGGGTTGGAATAGCATCTGAACAAGTGGTCTCCTTTCGCTGTGAGTCACCATTCCCAGAATGATGTGCCTCCTCCTCCCTGCAGGAACATTCACACCCTACTCACCTTCCATTTGGCAGGTATCCCACCACAGTGGTGCCCACCACCAGCAGGCTGATCCCCGTGAATGCAAGCGCTATCCTGTAAAAGACAAGAGCACATCACACCAGCCCAGGAGACAAGAATCAAAAATACAGATCTGAATTGTACCCGTATCATAAGCTTTGAGTTCAATCTCCAGTACAGCCAAAAAATAATAAAAATTTAAAATGAAGAGCTCTTCACAGAAATAGGTGTTTCGTGTTAGAACTAGAGTTCCCCTGTGATTCCAAACTAACCCTCACTGACATGTCTCCTTAGCCTCAGCAGCTGGAATGACAGGCCTCCCTAGGGTCACCTGGGCTGCCCTCGGGCACCTGCTGTCCTGCTGGCTTCCCCTCTCTTCAGCTTTACAGCCTGGCAGAAGCAAAGCCTCTGTGAAGCAATAAGAAGTAAGGCCTGAAGGTACCAGCATCTGGCACGACACTCAGAACAGCACAGGACACAGAAAGCTAGAATTCAATACTGCCTCTGTATCAGAGAAGCAGGATTCAGGAAAGAAGGCCATGCCCAGAGTGGACAGGCCAGAAAGTACACCATGTTCCCTGGCTGCATTCAGTCCATCTAGGCAAGCGATCTGTCTTTAAGAAACCCAACTATTGCTGTTTAATATCCTGAATATTCACAGATCTTGAAAGAGTAATGCTAGTATGCCCTTCTAAGCCAGAGCAAAAGCCACACTATCCTCTTTCTAAAATGGAAGATAGGGAGGTCCTGCATAGAGTGAGGCAGAGCATCAGGCTTTCTGTTACTGCACTTTTCCTCACCTGAGTGGCAGGAGGAAGCAATATCGAATCAGCACTCCTAGCCCCCATAACACAGTGAGCCGAAGGCTGATGTACTGGAAGTTATAATTGGTTCTGCTCAGCAGGTTCCATGACTCCAATTCCTCTGCTGAGAATCTCTTGGTCACTTCATCGTCCATAATAGTCTCCATTCCTTTCCGGCAAAAGTAGAAAATGTCAGAGAGCTCAAACTCCAGAGTATTATCCAGAGCCTTACTACTGCCACTTCGACGAATTTCTTTGATTTCTTCTTCTAGTGAAGTAGGATCTTTTGCAATTATTCCTGAAAAATACAACACACCTGTCAAGTGGCATGCTTCAGCAAAGTATGTGAAAAACACTCAGGATACATAGCCTACATCTTATGCCATGAACTGTAAATGTAATGTGTGCTCCAAAGGTTAAGGAGTTAGAAACCTGGTTCCCAATGCGTGGTAGACCTTTAAGGTAGGGCCTCATGGAAGAGGATTAGGTCACAAGGCTGCTGGCCTATTAAAGCCTATCATGCTGTGGGAGTGGGTATAAGGGATGGAGCGAGCCATTCCCATGATATTGGGTTGTTTTTTATTTTTTTTATTTTTTGGGTCTGGTCGTGGGGCCTGAACTCTGGGCCTGGGCGCTGTCCCTCAAGCTCTTCAGCTCAAGGCTAGCACTCTACCACTTGAGCCACAGTGCCACTTCCGGCTTTTTTCTTTTTGCTTGTGTGGTGCTGAGGAATCGAACCCAGGGCCTCATGCATGCAAGGCAAGCGCTCTACCACTGAGCCACCTTCCCAGCCCTGTTGGGTTGTTTTTAAAATGCAAACCTGGCCCCTCAAGTTTGTGAGATCTCTTTTGCCAAGTAATAGACCCTTCCCTTCTTTCTTCCCGTTCACATATTCCTGCCATGTGGTACAGTTAGGGAGCCCCAAATTTCTATCCAAATTGAGCTAAATACCCTTTTTCTCTTTTGCAAAGTACCCAGTTCTGGGAATTGTGTTATAGCATCAGAAATGAATTCAACCAGTGTACAAATGAAAGCACTTAGAGACCTATATCAAAGGACCCTTAGCCTAAGGATCAAGACTCAAGTCTTACCATTGGTATAGGGCTTGTAAAGTTGGTGGTTCTTCTCCTTGGCTCCTCTCTCCATTCTCAAGGTAGCCCACTGAGGAGGGAAAAAGCAAAACAGCAGTGCAAGAATGAAATTCTTTTTCAGGGAGCATCTCCACTACTACTCTGTGAAAGCCTCAATCCCAATCGGGAGAGCCAATGGTAGTCAATTACCACCCATCGTGAAAGGGGGCTCCACTCCTTTCCCAGGGTGGCCAAAACCCAAGGCAAGTTAGCAACTGTACAGAACTGAGTGTATTACAAGGAGCTGAGGCAATCTGTTCAGACTCTCATCTCATTCACCTGAACATTCTCCAGACCAAGGAACTGACTAGCAAATGGCACACGACCAGTGAAGACAGACTCCTTCAAACTGCTGCCCACAACCAAAAAAAGTGACCCTTTTTGCTTTCAGGAAAATAAAGGACTTTCTTTAACTTCCAGAATCTGGTTCTCTTTATCTACAAAACATGATTTCTTAGCAAGGTCATTTAGAACAGAAGGACACCATGTATGTGACAGAACTTAGAAAAGGCAAGTGTGTTACACGTTAGGTGTCTTCATTACTAGTAAAATCCAGACTATGGAAGAGAGCTAGAAAGAAGGAAAAAAAAAGCAGCTTTCCCTGGAGCTTTCTACCTTCATTAATAGAGTCCTTTTACCTGGGGTAAATAGAACCAGCTCACCTACTCCCTCGTGAAATATGTTACCAATGAATACCTCCACGGTGAGTAAGGGAAATAAAAAAGATTTCAAGAGATGCCTCTTAAACTTTGTCCACAGCTGTGCACAAAGGAGAGAATTCTATCACAGGGAGAGAACACTATCATGATGCATAAGGCATGGAGCCCAAGGCATTCAGGGTACACTATGCTAGTGGAGCCTGAAAAAGCAGCAAGACTGTTCTATTACAGGAGGGAAAGTCAATCAATTTAATCTGACCTCGACTGGAAACCTCAAATGTCATTCTCTAGAAAACAATAGGCAGCTTTAGTGTTATCCACTCAAAGTAAGGTCAGAAATGAGAAAACTCAACCCATGTTTCAACATTTAAGATTAGGTGAGCATTGATGGCTTTTGGTTCTATGAGTGGATAACCTTTTCTGGGGGAAAATGTTAATTCCTGTTTTAGGAAGAAGATGAACTGCCTAGTTTCTGAAAACTTAGAAAGACTTGATAAGAAAGCACAAGCTACACGTCTAAATATATGAACACAAATATTTAGTGTTCCACATTCTTGCTATAATCCTGTACTGACACTGCAAGGACAATAATAATAGAAGCACTACTCTTGTGCTGAATTCTAAAACTCAGACTATACTGCAAGAAGCAAGTAACACAAAACATTAACCTCAAGGATGAAAAGAGTGCAGTCTCTCTCATTGCTGCTGATGCTCAGCTCTGAAACTGTTTAGCTGCATATACCCTTTCATCCCCTTTGGCTTCTGCACATTACAGAATGCTTCTGTGTTTACTAAGGCACTGTCCAGTCACAGAGTAAGGGACAAGCAGTTGGGCTGGAGGAAATCTGGCAATTAGCTGAGAACAGCCTGTTAAGGGATGACTAGGGCAGCTCACTCAACTACCTTTGCCCTAATAGAGGGAGAAAAGGCCTGGGAAAACAAAGTCCCCAAACACTTCTAACACTGCTAGGGGAGTGGGAGAGACTAGGCATAAATATACTAAGCAAACTGAAGCTAATTTAATTCAGTCCTGACACTATACACCTGGAGAGTGAGAGATCCCACAGACTGCCCCATCCAGATGCCAAAAGCAAGGCCCAAATTGTGACTAGTGCTTCTGACTGGCTATTAAATGGGGTTTTCACAACCTGCCACACTGGGATCAATGCTTTGTCTGCAGATCTCAGGGACACACTATTTATGTTTACAATTTAATACAAAGAACAAAGATCAAGATGTGCCCTATACAAGAGTTGCACATGAAAGGTATGGGGTGGGGGTTCCAAGTCTTTTCTAGACACGTCACTCTCTAGCATCCAGAAGGTTCATTAAATCATTAAATCCTCTTGTTTTAAGACTTTTCATAGTTATCAGAATTTGATCTCCAACCACCCACTCCTGAGGCTTTGCAACAAGTGCTCTCATCTCTTCAGCATAAGCTCAAATGTGGGCAAGGTGCTCACTAAGGACAATAGAAAACATTAATCCAGGAGACATCCCTACAGTTAGGGCCTCTCTGACAGAAACTAGGCATAAAAATCAATCACATTTTATATCACAGGCCAAAGCATAATAGTGATATCTAGTAACTATACAATGAGCTTCTCTGAGCTGTCACTTTAAGAAGTATAGTTTTCAGATACTTTGGAATAAAATTAAGAATCCTAGGTTCAGAGTTCATTTCACCATAAAAATCGTCTCTCTTCCCGATTTGTCATTTACGAGACTATTCAATGTCAGATTACTTTATTCTCCTTTCAGCTTCTCCTAGACAGAGAAAATTTAAGGGCATTAACAACACTAGGATCTTAGGTAACATTAAACTGAACAGAGCTTGGCAGGTGAAATGCAGATGGGCACTCAATACAATTCTGGTACTAGTTATATCAGTCTCCACTACATTCCCACCAACTAGATATATCCAAGAACTTGATCCCTGAAAACCACCGGGCTTATACTTCCCCAGCAAAGATTCCATCCTCTCCCTGCTTTGGCTATAATGTTCAGGTTGCTACTGTCAAGTCTACCCTTTATTTCACAGAAGGGCCAACCTCACATTTCCAATTACAAATCCAGGCAGCATCCTCATGCAGCAGCTGAGAATCTGCAGTGGCATACTTCTTCATTACTGCAGTAGCTCCTCCACACATTCCAGCCTGAGAGCTGGCATCCTCTCCCTCCATCTACCCAAGTTGCCAGGCCTCCAATGTCACCAAGTCCTCTGAAGTGGCACTCTCACATCTGCTCGTTCCATATTCCTTCCTTCTCTCCTTTATTGACCTATAAAAGGCCAACATCAGCTTCACTTCTCTCTCCCTCAGTCCTCCTTCCTGTACCTGAACACATGCTGCCAGAGCCTGATCATATCACTTTCTGGCTCAACCTTCAATGGCTACCGAGTGTCTAATAAAAGACATAAAACCCACCTTGTTGCTTCATGTACCTTTTTGCTCTAATAAACTATGTGCTGCATCCAAACAAGATTGTACCTTTTCACCTTTACCCAATAAGCTTGAAGAATATTCTATCATTTTCCAAAATCTAGGCCTAATGCCAAATCTACTATGAACTGTTTCCTACCCAACTTCTGCGTCAGAACTTTAATTGGGCACTGCATGATGAATTAAGTATATGTGTGCATATTTGTCTCTCCTAAGAGACTATAAGTACTTTTGGAAGCAGGAGCTAGAACCCACCAAGTGTATAATCTGACAGTACCTGGCACTTAGCAGGTAATTAATAAGGGCTGTACTTAATTAATCAACTCTTAGTTTTTCTCTCCATCAAAGTCTCCATTTGAAAAAACAGACCAGAAATGATAAAAGCTAAAACGTTTTCCCTGGGGCTGGGAAGGTGGTTCAGTGGTAGAGCACTTGCCTTGCATGCCTGAGGCCCTGGGTTCGATTCCTCAGCACCACATAAGCAAAAAGAAAAAAAGCCGGAAGTGGCACTGTGGCTCAAGTGGTAGAGCACTAGCCTGGAGCTGAAGAGCTGAGGGATAGTGCCCAGGCCCAGAGTTCAGGCCCCACGACCGGACCCAAAAAATAAATAAAAATAAAACGTTTTCCCTGCAACTAATCATCCTCATCTCCTTGAGCATGTCCTTACCCACTCAAAGTTACAATAGAATGGACATTTACTACTCCCATGTGAGGTTAGAATTACCACTCCTCTCCAGATGAGGAAACAGGCTGCCAAGTTCAATGATCAAGGTAAGTGTGGGAGCTGTTGAAAATCCCAAGTACTCAAGGTGAGGGATACCTGCTCCAAAAACAAATGTTCTTCCCACTCTAATCCCATAAGCACATGAAGCTGGTCTTCCAAACCATTGCAGCCTCCATTGATCCAGTGGAGCTGAAGATGTGCAAACTGCCAAAGTCCCATCCTTTTCCCCTAACTTGACTGATACCTTTCACCTCAGGCAGAGAAACACAGGTTTCTTCTGTTGTTCCCAAGTCATTTTCAACCCAGTTGGACTTCCATTCTAAAATGCTATCATCACTCTGAAAAGGACATCTGAAGCAGATACTCTCAGGAAAAGGACAGAACCCCTTTAAATATGATACTCCTCGAACATTCTGGTCTTTAGTAACTCAGCATCCATGGGACCTGCTCTGAGTTTAGTCCTCCAAGAGAGGAATCATCCATCTACATCCTCTCCATCTCTCTCAAAAGCAGACAAAAGCACAACTGTACGAACTGAATGCTATTTAATGCTATTTACAAAGAAAATCAGTAAAATGTAGAAATAAATAATGAACCATGGCAACTAGGGATGGAACTCAGAAGTTCACACATGCTGGCAAGCATTCTACCATTGAGCCATACCATCAGCTTCTACTCTTTTAAAATCTTAATCTTGCTATTTCCATTACTAAATCACTTTGCTCAGACTAGTGGTTTTCCAAGATGTGCTTCTGATGGCCCAAAATTACATTTCCACAGGTTAGCACAACAGTAAACATTGAATGAGTTTTCCATGGTATAATAATAATCTATATTAGAACTCACAAGACTGTACATCCTAAAAATTCAGTCATAAAAGGGATTCACTTGCCCAATAGGGGAGTGCTTGCCTAGCAAGTATGTGATCTGAAGTTCAAACTGTAGCATCATCAAAAAAAATACTGTATCTCATTTCCTCCACTATCATGAACATTTCATATATTTCAGGTAATCTAAGTCTCTTTCCTTATTGATAAAATAAGAATATTTACCCTGTTTCATCACATAATTCTAAGGAGCCACAGGAAAGTGTAAACATTAAAAAAAACTACAAGGTATGTTGGGTGCTGGTGGCTCACACCTATAATATTAGATACTCAGGAGGCTGAGATATGAGGATCATGATTCAAAGCCAGCCCAGGCAGGGAAAGTCTGTGAGACTCTTCTCTCCAATTAGCCACCAGAAAAACCAGAAGTAGAACTGTGGCTCAAAGGGGTAGAGTGCTAAGCCGTAAATAAAAGCTCAAGGACAGCACCCAGGCCCTGAGTTCAAACTCCGCATTCAAAAAACCCCCAAAACTAGTGGCGCTGTGGCTCAAGTGGTAGAGCACTTGCCTTGGGCTGAAGAGCACAGGGACAGCACCCAAGCCGAGAGTTCAAGCCTTGTGACCGACCAAAAAACAAACAAACAAAAAACCCCCAAAAAAAAACAAAAAGAAAAAAATCTCCAAAACTATAAGATATGGTTAGAGGTATAACTCAGAGGAAAAACACTTGCTCACTATGTGAAAGGCTCAAGGTTTGGGGTCTAGCACTACCAAACAAACCTACCAGATACCATATAAAAAAGTGGCAGGCTGGGAAGGTGGCTCAGTGGTAGAGCGTTTGCCTTGCATGCCTAAGGCCCTGGGTTCGATTCCTCAGCAACACATAAGCAAACAGAAAAAAGCCGGAAGTGGCGCTGTGGCTCAAATGGTAGAGCACTAGCCTTGAGCTGAAGAGCTGAGGGATAGAACCCAGGCCCAGAGTTCAGGCCCCACAACCAGACCCCCCCAAAAAAAAATTTAAAAAAAGTGATGTGGCTTTATTTTGACCATGAAGTTGCAGTTCTCAAAGCTATACATGGTTTCATCTGTGAAAAAGAATTCCTGGGCTAGGAAGGTGGCTCAGTGGTAGAGCGCTTGCCTTGCATGCCTGAGGTCCTGGGTTCAATTCCTCAGCACCAAATAAGCAAAAAGAAAAAAGCCGGAAGTGGCACTGTGGTTCAAGTGGTAGAGCGCTAGCCTTGAGCTGAAGGGCTGAGGGACAGCGCCCAGGCCCAGAATTCAGGCCCCACGACCAGACCCCCCCAAAAAAAATAATTAAAAAAAAATTCCTGCAGAGCTGGGGACTAGTTCTGAGATTTTGCAAATAAATGACCAAATCTCTGCCTAGACGTTCAAAATCTTATGGTGTCTTATTAGCTTAGTTTTATTAGCATCCTTTCTCATCTACTTTCTTTATAATGCAGCCAGTTCTGGCCAATGTTCTGACTGATGTTCAGAAATATACTATCTTCCCCTTCTATCTTTCAGAAAATTAAACAGTTCAAACTCCCTTTTCTGTTCATTCTTTTTGCATGAAGTGTAAGGGCTTTCTTTAAATAAATGTGTAAGGAGAGAAAAGGCTTTTCAGAGGGGGACAGGTTGGCAGCACTGTGCCATATACCTGCTCTATAGGGACAAGGAGTACATAGCAATGCGCTTGATTTTATGTCTCATGCTGTGACTTGGCAGGCACGATGCAGAGTCACGGGCTCAGGGTCAGTGTATGCACTCATTTCTCCATTCCCTCCAAAGTCCGTCCCCACCCCCTACTTTCCCAGTTTCTCCCAGGTCCAGCAGAAACAGCCAGGTATTCTTACCAGCTGGGTAAGAATTGTTTCTGCCCAAACCAATTCCCCCTCCTCTATGACACTACCCATCAAAATAGCTCAACTCACCGCAAAGATTTTTAACAAAGTTTTCATGTAGAGCTTTCGGATACCAAAGGAGACTCCAAAAATGGCAGGGACTATGATGAAAACGAGCAGGAGGGTAAAGAGAACTGTCAAGGAGATGCCCAGAAGGTTGACAATCAGGCTATCAAAAGGCAGCAAGAGGAACATGGTGGAGGATCCAGGCCAGGCTGGTGCCCTCTTCCCCACGCACAAACCGTGGCCTTCAGATGGTCCTTTCTGACAGCACCAACCTGAGAAAGGAAGCTAGTCCCCCAAGGGTGACAAACTCCATCCCCAGGATCACATCATTTAATTGCTTGCACAGAGCAGAGGAACTTGATAGCGAACAAGGTAGAACAAGTCTTCAGTACCAGCATGCGTGTCCAGGCTGTGTTTCTGTGCAAGTAAGTGGCAAAGGAGAGCTCTCCACTCCACTACCTGTCCACTGCTTCCAGAGGCTTTGCTCCGTTTCCTGCCCCACAGCATTCAGCAGATCAATCTGTCCAGCAGATCTGTATTGCCAGAAATACCAAGAAGAGTTCACCTTGGTGCCAGAAAACTCCTGATAACTCCCGTGGAGGGGGTGACACTCGCACTTCACACAGAAGGTTTTGGAAGGTGAATATGTGGAAATTAAATAATTTTGCTTAAAATTCCTTCATAAGCTGAAACCCAAATTCACTGTAGAGAGTTCGTATCTGTCCCCATTCTCCCTTTGGAAGGGATCCTGGTGCTGCTGCCCCCAGGACCCTCCTACCTGAAGAGCCTCAACCTTCGCCAGTGGCACACGGAGGCTGGCATGGAATGTTTCATGCCTGCAGAACTCCAGGCACACCTGGCATAGGTGGCCACTCAAAATTCTTCCTGCCCTTTCTCAGCGGTGACCTGGCTTCTTGGCGAAAGTTGTTTACATGCTGCTGGAGCTGGGGGTGGAAAGAGAAGCAATGTCAGTCACACAAATCAAGAGGAAGAACGTCAACATGCTTTGTTGTGGGAGGGGCAGACTGTCTTAGGGTGAGCCAGCCATTAGCGCCAGCTTCTCCAGACATCAAGGTCAAAGGGACTGGAGAGGCACACCACCAATGTGGGAGAGACATATAAGTGTTCCACAGAGTTTACAACGCCAATAAATTGGAACTGTGGCCACTCATACTTTTTGAGTTAAACATTATGTATCTGTAAAACATAAAGGATAAAAATAATACATTAAGAAATGTAAATCTCCCTCCTACCTGTCTCGTTTCCCAGAGTTCTTCTGGGTAGATGCTCAACTTGTATTTTTTTCCTAAGAGAATTTCTGTTTATAGGAGGATATCAGCTGTTCCTTTCCACCCTTCTCCCACCTTGCTTTTTTAGCTTAATCTACCTTAGAAGAGTTCCATCAGTTCATAGAAACCCCTTGCTCTTTGCAGATACATAGCTTACAAATGGAAAGATTTAGGTAAGCAGTCTCCAAAGGCTAGACACTGCCAATTCCACCTTTTGATTGTTACAAATAATGTATTTAATTTACTCTACACAAATGTACATGGCAAATGTCTTTCCAAGATAAATTCCTAGAAAGGAGATTGCAGGAAAAAAAGGATATATACATTTTTAATTTTGTAAGACACTGTCACATTTCTTCAATCAAGAATAAACATCTCCAGCCTATTTTCTCACCTGTTCACTCATTTTAAAATTCCACTATTTCAAATATCTTGCAAAAGCATACCAATTTTTTAGTATTCATTCCATATTATGGAAGTTCTAGCAGAGTTGGGTACCAGTGGTTCAGGTCTGTAATCCTAGCTACAAGATCTAAGAATTGCAGTTTGAAGACTTCCTAGAAGAAAAAAATTCAACTCTTTTTTTTTTTTTTGGGTCCGGTCGTGGGGCCTGAACTCTGGGCCTGGGTGCTGTCCCTCAGCTCTTCAGCCCAAGGCTAGTACTCTACCACTTGAGCCACAGCGCCACTTCCGGCTTTTTTCTTTTTGCTTATGTGGTGCTGAGGAATCGAACCCAGGGTCTCGAGCATGCAAGGCAAGCGCTCTACCACTGAGCCACCTTCCCAGCAAAAAAAATTCAACTCTTATCTCCAATTAATCAGAAAAAAAAAAAAAACGTGGCTCAAGTGATAGTGTGCCAGCTGTGAACAAAAAAGCTGAGTAAAAATGCAAGGCCCTAAATTCAAGCCTCATTACCAGCACCAAAATTAAAAACAAACAAAAAAAGTTACTAATGGAAGTCCTGAACATGGAAGTCGAACATGACAGAATCCTATCAACTATCTCCAACAAAACAACCCCATACTCCCATAGTGCTAGGGTAGAACCTAGAGCTAGCACATACCAGACATGTGCTCTAACACTGAGCTATATTCTCAGCCTCGACAAAACATTCTGCATGAATCACCTTCTGGCTCTATTCTAAAACATTTACAAGTTCAAGAAATTGAATTCATAGATACTGACTTTACCTTAAAATTTATCCAATGTTTTATAAAGTCAAACTTACTACTTCGCTTGGTTACCAATATGTCAGTAAGTATTATTTCCACTAAACAGACTAGAAGACAAGAAGCAGATATAGGTCAAGTTCTGTTCTTCTAACATGATCCCAAATGTGGCTCTAAATCACAAACACTTGTTTCTGTTTCTGATCCCTATTTCTTCCACATTCATGTTACCATTACTGCTTACATAATAAATGAAAACAACATGACAGGAATTGAGCCAACAGCATTTTCCACATACTCTCCTCAATTCTCACAACTCCTTTGTGGCAGCATGACCACTGCCATTTACAGACCAAGGCATTGAGGCTTACCAGACTAAGTTTCTCAGGGTCACACAACCAGTAAGTGGTACAGCAAGAATTCCTACATCACCTTCATCGGAGGCCAGGCTCTTCAACTACTGCACCAAATTATCCTGAAATAATAAATGAACACTTCCTACCTGCCAAGCCTCCTCTACAGAACTTCCTGTGGTTAAGAGAAAAACTAGATGTGGATTCATGTATCAGAATCTGGTGTTCTCAGAATCTAAGGTACAGCCGTGCTCTTTCATATAACCTGGCTATCCACTGTACAATGCCGGGTTTCTAACCATAACCCAAAGCAGCCTGTCTCACTGTGTTTCAGGCGCCCATTAGGGCCCAGCCTAACTCTAGTCACATTCTGCTCCCCTAGGCCAGCATCCCTCTAGGGAAGGCACAAGAACCCTCTGTCCTATTGACCAAAGTTACCTTGAGTTACTCAGGTCCAAAGGGACTGTCATTTACCAAACATGACCCCATAAGCCAAAGTTTTAATCACTCTTTTTTTGGATCAAAATCAATTGAGAATTCCCAAGGTTACTCTGGGTTCATGTCCATGAAACATTAAACACATGTAGCAACAAGCTCATTTCTTCACCTAGTTCAGAAGTTGGCCAATCACAGCCCGAGGACCAAATCTTGATATTGTCTGATCTAAAGGTTCTTGAGCTATATATGGGTTTTATTTCTTTAAAGGTATGTAAAAAAGAAAAGGATATGTGGTACTGTGGCCTGCAAAGCCTGAGATATTTACTATCTGGCCCTTTACACGAATGGTTTACTGCCCTGTGAACCAAATAATTGCCTCCCTCAGAGGTGACCTCTCCCCTGGTGGCCTGCCCCACCCCCCAGTGCCTGTTTATGAGTGCCAGCCTCCTGACCAGAGAACAGTGAACCAGCCAGACCAGTTACCTTGCCAATACCAATCTGCACATAAATTCTTAGAAGAGAAAACAGCAAGTAAATGACAGTTATCAAACAACTGTCCAAACATCTTGGGGGCTTAGCAGAAAACTCACTGAAGTCAGAGGTATCTGGTGTCTTGAGGGCACTTGTAATGAAGACTATAGTGACTGGAAATACCAGAGCTGCTCACATAAGAATTCATCCAGAACCATGATTTCTGAAAAACTGCTCATTTAGGAGCAGACATAACTTTGCTTGAAGGAAATGTAACCATTACCTCCAAGGAGTTGAGGTGGAGCACTGTTAACACAGGAAAATTTACCTACCATCAACTTCCTCAGTTGGAATCCGGCTACCATAGTAAAAACCATTTGGACTAAGTCCAGACAAAATGTAAGAACTAACTAGTTCTTAGACTGTCAGGAAGATGGCATCACCCTAGCAGGGTAACAGATCCCATTACTACGCCAACTAAATTCTTCAAGTCCCTGAATGGCAATTCTGGGCCTTCAGGCATGCAAGTGGCCTCAGTTCTTAGAGTGACTAATTCATAACTAACATAGTATATGCCACACAATTATGAGAGGGCATATTTAGTGCCGAACATATATGCCTGAAAGAAGAATCAAGTAAATAAGCATTTCAAATGTTTCATGGTTGTTCACAAGGAAAAGGATGAAGTCTTGAACAAAAGGAAGAGTACACGGAATTTAGTTTAAATCAGACCCAGTCTGGAGTATTTGGCAGGATGCTTATGATTCCTAAGTGCCGAACCAACCTTTTATTTTTTTTTGTTTTTTGTTTTTTTTGGGTCCGGTCGTGGGGCCTGAACTCTGGGCCTGGGCGCTGTCCTTCAGCTCTTCAGCTCAAGGCTAGCGCTCTACCACTTGAGCCACAGCGCCACTTCCGGCTTTTTTTCTTTTTGCTTATGTGGTGCTGGGGAATCGAACCCAGGGCCTCAGGCATGCAAGGCAAGCGCTCTACCACTGAGCCACCTTCCCAGCCCATGCACTTTTATATATATATTTTTTTTTTTTTTTGCTGATCATGGGGCCTGAACTCTGGGCCTGGGCACTGTCCCTCAACTCTATACCACTGGAGCCACAGCGCCACTTCCGGCTTTTTCTGTTTATATGGTGCTGAGGAATCGAACCCAGGGCCTCATGCTTACAAGGCAAGCACTCTACCACTGAGCTACCTTCCTAGCCCCTCCAAACCTTTTAAACTAGCTCTCTGACACATCCAAACTCAGAAGACTGTGACTGCCAGAATATGCCATAGATAATACATGCCAACTCAAAAGTACCCTTTTATTAAAAAATAAATGCTTAAAGCTAGAAACAATAGCTCATACCTGTAAGATACCTACTTAGGAGGCTAGGATACAGAAGGATCGCTGAGGCCAGCCTGGCTAAAAAAAAAATTAGGAAGATGTTATCTCAAGAAACAAGTTGGCATGGTGGTGGCAAGCTACACATCCCAAGCTACACAGCCCTGGGCAGAATATTGAGACTCTATGTGGAAAAAAAAAGCAAAAAAGGCTGGAAGTGCGGCTCAAATAGAACATCTGAGTAACAAGAGCAAGACCCTGAGTTCAAGATACATAGATTAGACAGACAAAGATAGATATTTAGACAACCAAGTGACAGATGCACACTTGTTTTTTTTATAGTGCAGGTGAAGGAACAATAGGCCTGGGACATGCCAGGCAATCACTCTACCACTGAACTACATGCCTAGCTCAATAGATTCATTTTTAAAGCACATAAAGTACAAAGTGCCACCAATAAATGGTGCATATTAACATTCCTTTAGAATCCAAAGAGACCCAGATTATCATCCTTACTTAAGGTAACAAAAATTTAAGGTTCAGAAATAAAAGTGTTTTGAAGTATTTTGGGTCACAAAAATCAACAAGCTAAAAAAAACCTACATGTTTGTAATAGTAAGGGCTCAATTTATAAAAGATAGCTAGACTAAGGGTATGGCTCAAGTGATTGAGTACTTACTTGCCTGCTATTAAGTGTAACATCCTGAGCTCAATCCCTGCACTGCCAATTCTTATTTTTTATTTCTGGGCTTGAGCTTAGGACCTCATGCCCTCTCTTTGCTTTTTCTCTCTCAAGGCTGGCATTCTACCACTTGGGCCATTCCTTTACATCTGGCTTTTTCGCTGGCTAATACTGTCCTAGGCTGACTTTGATACATGATCTTCAGA